TAAGTTATTACATTTATTTGTTTGCTTACTGTGTCCTTCTTGTTTTGATATGCCAAATAGGATGCTCATGTGAGCTAGTCCAATCACCGATGTCCCTGAAGCTCTGTCCTGCCACCAGGTGACCAGAACTGCCACTAAGTATGTGAACCCAGGAGTCCACCCACTCTTCTTGTATGGGTTCAGCTCATGTGTCCAGGTAGTTGGCCACCAAGTGTGTGGGGCAAGCTCTCACCTACAGTCCTAGACAGGCATGGGTGACTGGTGTAGGCACAGGCATTTAGCTGCAGCAGGGGGACACATGCTGAGCAAGGCAGGGGGCCAATGGCCACCCCCGTGTCCAGGAGGAAAGTGTGTCCCTGTTCCCTAGAGTGCATAGGTGGGTGGGTTTTGCAGCCCGACTATGAACACCCAATGCTCTTGGCTGTAAGGACTGGGGGCCACCTCTTGGGCCCATATCACAGGTGGCTAGGTAGCATGGGTGAAGACATCAGTCCTCATGCCCCTGATGTGGGTAGTTGAAGACCCTGCTTAACGGGCAGAGCAGTGTCAAATGTCACAAACCTGGTACTTCACAACTGAAACAGTTCAAGTGAGACTTCAGGTCTATACCCTGTTGTACTGCGGTAATGAGGGCCTACACTGTTGAGATGGGCCCACACAAGTCTCTGCAGGGGGAAAGGTACTCAAATACTGTAGATCCCTTATGCCTGTGCCTAAGCAAAGGAGCTGTTTCTACACTGAGTTCTTGACTTCGGGGAGCCAGATTATTTTTTCCCGTTTGTATTTTGTTTCCTCTCTAAGGTCTGGAGAATGGCCCAGGGCGTGTGACGGGTCTTACTTCCAGCCCAGGGGACTCGGCAATTGCTGAAGTCGTCTCAGACCCAGTGTAGAGCAGGGAGGTAAATGGGAGAGACGTTTTTCCCTTGGGGGGGTGTTTTTGATCCGTGCGGTAGGCCAGACACAAGTACTTATCTTTCGCTGATCAAGGGCTGCTTCTCACTGGTCCTGGATGCTCAAGTAGACTCTCTGCTGCTGGGTCTCTCCCGATGTGGAAAATGCCTCCCAAGCACCACTGCTTGTCTGCCCCACCGCGCACCCTGAGCTGATCTGGGCTGAAGGGCTCTGGCTCCCACAGGGTTGGGTCTGGTGACTCCTCGCTGCTTCCAAACCACTTCTCCCTCCCTCCCTATGCCACACAGTCCGATTCATCAACTTTGCCTTTGATATTTAGGGTTCCTAGATTGTCATATATAATCGATTCACTTGTTTTTTCAGATCTTTGTTGTAAGAGGGACCACTGGAAGCATCTTACTACTCTGCCATCTTGGCCCCGCCTCCTGTTTTTTTAAATAATCTTATTTTGTTATCGTTATTGAGAATATACACAAAACATACTGCAACAGTTTCTACATATACAATTTAGTGACATTTATTACATTCTTCAAGTGGTAGAACCATTCTCACCCTCCTTTTCTGAGCTGTTCTCAGGGCAATAGTTTCAGGGCTTCATCCAGCCTCCGTGGCTCCAGAAATTCTCCATGAGATTTTGAAATTCTGTTCTGCATTTTCCCCCTTTTGATCAGATTCTTCTATGGCAACACTGCTTCTTGTTTTCATTTTCCACGGGCTTTTTAATACTCTCCTGAAACTACTGCCCTGAGATAATCATTAAATCTTAAACAAAAAATATCCCCCAAAGTCTTCTTAAAGGTAAACAATAGTTTAGCTCAACTAGTAAAGAACATCTGCCTTGAGCATTGTGCTCTTTTAAGATCTATCTATAAAGAATCGAATTGACAACAGCAACTCAAAAGAGAAGATAGGAAATTAGGGGGCAGTAAGTTTATGTTAATGGGGAAGGAACAACTCAGAAAAGGAGAGTGAAAATGGTCGTACATCTCAAAGAATGTAATTAATGTCACTGAATTGTACATGTAGAAACTGTTAAATTGGTGTATGTTCTGCTGTGTATATTCTCAAAAACAAAAATATTTAAAAAAAAAAAAAAACACTGCCATTACCATGAACATTTTTCCAAAAGACAGGATATCAAGAGTGTCAAATCAAAACCCTTGATCTGAAAGCTGAAAAGGACTTTGAAGGCCTCAAACCCAAAACTCATTTAAGTTTCAGTTCATCTTTGAAAAGATGGGAGAGGCAGACACTCAAGAAACCTTACATGAATAATTTAACACACAGGACTAGTAGTCACCTCCCCCCGCCCAAATTGGCAAATCTTTCAAAACTAGATCATCAAGCCTTTCTTCTGAGGCACCTCTGGGTGGACTCAAACCAACCTTCTGGTGAGTAGCAAGTGCCTTAGCTGTTTGCATCACCCAGGGGCTCCACTTGTAGTTTTTTAAAAAGGAACCATCTGAAACTTACTATTGACTATAAGCTGAAGTTGATTATATATTGAATTACATATTACAGATTGCTCTATATTTATACTGATTATGTTTGAAGTTAATATATATGTGATATACAGTATTCTTTTAAAAAGAATGTGATTTTTGCAGCCTTGAGGAGAACTAGCCCACATGGCGAGAAAGGTTCTTACTTCAAAATTAGCACTGGAGGGTCACCAAGTACCAATGCTCCAAGATCATTTGTCATGGATTGAATTTTGTCCCCCAAAGATGTGTGTTAATTTGGCTAGGCCATGATTCCCAGTATTGTGATTGTCCATTTTGTCATCTGATATGACTTTCCTGTGTGTTGTAAATCCTCTATGATGCTGATGAGATGGGATTAGAGGCAGTTATGTTAATGAGGCAGGACTAAATCTACAAGATTAGGTTGTGTCTTATCTCACTCTCTTTTGAGACATAAAAGCAGCGCCAGGAGCAGAGTGTGTCCTTTGGACCTGGGGTTCCTGCACTGAGAAGCTCCTAGGCCGGAGGAAGATTGACAACAAGGACCTTCCCCTGGAGCTGCCACCCTGAATACGGACTTCTAGCCTCCCAGACTGTGAGAGAATAAATTTCTTTGTTAAAGGTGTCCACTTGTCATATTTCTGTTACAGCCCAATACCCTTCTTCAGAAATAAATGAACCAGCTCCCAGAACATGACACCAATGACTGCTGTTGACATTGACACTGAAGACCTTGAAGAGACCCTTCTAAATCCACCACTTTCTAGGCTTCCAATTCAAGGAAGTGAGTTCTGTAAAATGCTGTCGTCGTGAGAGCTGAGTCCACTCCAGCATGTCGTCACCTGTGAGACTGCAGGAGAAACAAAACAGAGCCAAAGACATTTGGAACTGGCACCCAACCCCAGCGTCAAAAAAGTCCCTCAAGCAACACCACAGTCTATTTGTAAAGGAAGTTTGGAAACACATGACTTTAATTATGGACATATTAAAACGTGCTCGATGAAGAATTCCGCTTACACAGTTGAAGCCAATACATATTTTATAAAGCAAGTCCCCCGCCCCCCGAAAAGAAAAAGTTTCCACATTGTGGGCTGTGGAGGAGATATAAATTCACTGGGTAGACTGACCTTGCAAATAAGGCGCTTTAAGTGCACCTCAGGGAAGGCACGATACGCAGATGGTGGTTACTCTAAGTAACTGATTATAAGACAATGTATGATTTGCATTTGCATTTTAACTGATAAAACTAAAAAAATTACAACTTGAAACCAGTCAGTTTTTCCTCTAAATCCTCGAGTGACGTTTCCAACACCTTAATGGACAAGGTTTCTTGACAAGCACTTAAGAGTTGAATTTCAGCTTCAATGACCATCCTGTAGTGGCTTGTCTAGTCCATGGAAATGAAGGGGTTTTCTATCTAGAGCAGACCCACCCAGACACAAGATGCAGAGACCCAGTTGCAAAGGAGGGCCCAGCACCCTGTGCAGTTTCATTACTATCTAGGAAGACAGACGGGAACACGAGCGCCTGCGATGAACTTCCTGAGAAGTCAACGTGCTCTGAGAATGAGGAGAGCACCAAGAACCGAGCTCAACCCACAAGGACAAGACTGACGCTCGGACCTATCTCCCCCGGGCTTTATGGGCGGAGATGACACCGGTGGGTGCCAACAAACGACAGCTCACCACAGGCACACTCGCATGTATACTCTCACATACACATTCACACACACATACATACTCACATGTACATTCACTCGTACACTCACATGCACGCACACACATGCACACCATCACACGCACACACATTCACATGTACACTCGCACACATGCACACCATCCCATGCACACACGTTCACACGCACGCACTCATTCACATTCACACCCCCACACGCACACCCTCATGCACATTCATGGATACACACACCCTTAGATACACACACATGCATGCTCTCATATGCACAACCCTTACATGCACACACTTATTCTCACATGCACACACAGTCACCTACAGATACGCTCATGCACACTGGTTAAAGGCACACTTTAGAAATAGTTTTTCACCGAGCACGTTACTAAACTGTTATTCACCGAATCCTGCCCTACCATACTGTTTCTCAAGACGTTTTCCTATTCTACCTCTCTCTCTCAATCTCTCGATTTCTCAAACAAAAATACAATTCATCTGGCCAGACATGATTGGACAGTAAAACCTGTGAAAGCCAGAACCTGTGTAAGGCAGAAACTTGTCAGAAAAGGAAAACACAAATATTTTCCAGTAACAGAGGGTGACAGAATAGTGGTGAGACTGCACTGTCAGAGGCGGGAAACTTGTGAGACCTGGAAAAACGCAGCCGCGTCGAGTTCCACCTCTTTAAAGCTGTCACTGTATGATCATTTAGTCTTCAATAACTGAGAGATAATGCATGTCCGCAATATTTGGGAATTTTTGTGAACATGTTAGGAAAGAACTAGATATAAGTATTTAAGAACATGATTTAAAAGCTTGGGAGAGACTTTAAAAATTTCATCCTTTTAACACATCATGTGTTGTTAATTTGGGGGAAAAGGGAAAATGGTTAAACATCTGAAATATCCTTCATATTATACCAGATGAAGAAAAATGTTACAGCCAGAGAAATTTATTTTAAAATAGAAACATACATACATTAAGCTTTAAAATAATCAAAATTTTAAACAAAAGAGCAAAACCCTATTTGATCCCAGAGAGTCCCTATGGAATGAACGTATGTGGGCATTTGAAGAAGTTCACAGAAGGAGCAGGTTAAAAAACAAACAGCTTGAAATGGGAATCCAACGTCCTCCTGGCCTCCACTGGACGGCGCTGCTGGCCCAGAGCTCCTGGGCTCGGCTACCTGCAGGGGCTGGGGGCATCGTGACTGCTGGCGCAGCCCACCGCTGGGCACCGGCACCGAGCAGAGCAGAGCCACCGGGGACAGCCAGTCAGCCGTGGGAGCAGGATGGACTGTGAGCTGCGCTCACGGTGCCCACCGCCCCGCGCCGGGACCGAGCAGGGCCGCCTGGGGCAGCCAGCCAGCCGTGTGAGCAGGACAGAGGTACACTGTTTGCACAGGGGCGGGGCACAGTCTGTGCTAACAGCCCTTTCAACGTACCGGGTAGGCAGGCAGAGAGCTACGAGAAACGTCCAAAGAGGTTTTGGCAACGAAGAGGATGTAATGTCCAGGGGATCCCACCAAAGCTTCCAACAATACTCAGTCAACTGACAATCAAAACCTTGTTCTTTGCTTTAAGAAAAATCAGAATTGCACACGCACAGCCAGTGGCAGTCCAAGAGCGGCGTCTCCAGAGCCCTTCGACCGTCAGTCTGTGTGGGCTTTCCACTTGGGCTTTTCTTCATAAGACTCCCCAAACTCGTTGACTCTGCTCTTATCCACAGGATAAAGCCTGGAACGACACAGGTCAGAGTCACTTCCATAGGCTACTGTTCTTTAAAGAGAAGTTCGTGAGCATTCTTGATTCATCTTCCAATATTCTACCATGTTAAACAAGTCAATAATTAAGCCCAAGAGACAGAAAGGGCCACATAAACCAGAGACTTCATCAGCCTGAGACCAGAAGAACTAGACGGTGCCCAGCTACCACAATGACCGCCCTGACAGGGAACACAACAGAGAGTCCCTGATGGAGCAGGGCAACGGTGGGTGCAGAACTCAAATTCTAGTAAAAAGATCAGACTTAATGGTTTGACTGAAGACTGGAGGGACCCTGGAAGACATGGCCTCCAGACTCTCTGTTAGCCCAAAATTAAAACCATTCCCAAGGCCAACTCTTCAGACAAAGATTAGACTGGACTATGGAACATAAAATGATACTCATGAAGAGTGCTTCTTAGCTCAAGTAGATACATGAGACTAAATGGGCAGCTTCTGTCTGGAGGTGAGATGAGAAGGCAGAGAGGATCAGGAGCTGGTTGAATGAACACGGAAAATCCAGGGTGGACAGGAGGAGTGTGCTATCACAGTATAGGGAGAACAACTAGGGTCACATAACAATGTATGTATAAATTTTCGTATGAAAGACTAATTTGAATTGTAAACTTTCACTTAAAGCACAATTAAAATTAAAAAAAAAATAATTATAAAATGGAAATTGCTACAAGTTTCACTGCCTCCAGGAGGCGGAGGTATTTTGGGGGCTTGTCTCTCCCTTCCCCCACTGATGTTTTATTCTGGAAGGTCAGGCAGGTGCCACTTCTCAGGGAAATGAAAGCCTGGCCAATCAGAGGACGCGGAGAGCTGCGTCAGAGGGGGAGGTGGGACTCAGAGGTCTCACTATAGGTAAGTGTAGACAACCGTTTATGAAAACTCCAATGATCCAGACACCAGCAGCCAACATATACAGAAGTTTTTCTATGTTCACAGTACAGTTTTAAGCCCTTTGCAAACTGTATTGCTTTAACCTTCCCAGGAGCCCCCAGAGGCCCCTATGGTGCCACCATAGTTTAAAAGAATCCGAGGCACGAAGAGGTCCAAGAACTTGTGCGAAGTGACCCATCACGTGCTTCTTAGAGCTCTGTATTGCCCCCCAAACAATAAAATACAGAAGTTTCAGCTTTAAAACTGACCCGCTTCCCACTACAAGGCCCCAAGGCCCTGGGGAAAAGGCTGTGTCCCCGTGTGGAGCAGCAGAGGTGCAAGGAGAGCCTGGATATCTTATAAAGAAAGTCAGAGCATCACCAGACTCCTGGGGCCACCCCGAGGAGGGCCCCACTGGCCTCAGACAGGCAGCGTGAACATCACGCAGATTAACAGTGAAAATGAACTCTCCCCAGGTACGTCAGCATCCGAGAGATCCCCAGGAGACTAGTGAGTCTCTGCTGGATCCCCCGTGGGGCCGCCAGGCAGCCAGCCATTTGAAAGAGCTGGGCAGCCAGTGAATACAGGAAGTGGACTGAGGCGGGCCCCCCGGCAAAGGGCTCCACTGCAATAATGGAGGGAAAGCACAGCACTGCAGAGACCCTGGGTGGAAGGACAGATGTGGGCAGAGACTGTCAGCGGCCACTGATCCCACCAACGCACAGAAGACCAGGAAACGGGCTGCACCCCACTCCCACAACACGGAAACCCTTCAAGGAACAACTCACAGGAGGTATGGGAGGAGGAGACAGAACCTGACAGATTAAAGGAGACTTGAAAGACCCAGCCCTTCCAATGTGTGCATCTTGTCTGGATCCCAATTCCACCTTGCAACCTGAACACATCAGTAAAATCTGGAGTGTGAACACTGAGTGATGACAGTCAGGAGTCACTCAGTGGTTTACACATGATGATGGCACTGTGGGTATGGGACAATCAGCCGGTCTCTCAGACACGCACTGAAACGTAAGTTACTTCACATCACGCAGGGTGCGGTGGTAGAAGAAGCTGGCCCAGGGTGACACCGCTAAGTGAGGCGGGGCCCCGAGGGCACCTCACACCCTACTTCACGTTTGTGACTGTTCATGACAAAGACAGATGGAAGGATCCTCACGTGACATTCACTGGAAGATTCTGGACGCTGGCTCCATGCGTTGGCCTGAGGAGCCAAGGATGGAGTAAGGGGTGCTGTGTGCCCTGGAGGGTGAGGCAGGGCAGCCCCAGGGGCTCCCCTGGAACACCTGGTCCTCAGGCCTGCCCGGCTGCACTCAGCCTGGCGTTGGTGAGAGGGTGGAACCTCGCAGGGTGCCCACAGCTGGCTCTGGAGGAGGCGGGCTTCCTCACCTGGGCAGGGCCCGCAGAGCAAGGACAGGCAGGCTAAGTGGGCTGCTGAAAGCGGGGCTCCTCTCCTGCAGTAGGGAGATAGCCCAGCGGCCACAGAGGGCACGGAGAAGCGCAGCCTCCACCGTGGACAGCCTGGCAGCCTCCAGGAGGAAAGGTCCCTGAGACTTCATCTCTGGTCTTTCCATGGCATGATGAAATGCCCGCGGTGAGCTCGCTCTTTGGTAAAGACGCTCACACGCCTCCCCATAACGGGAATGGCCATCAATGCGCACCTACTCAGCAGACTCTCCAGGGGGGCCCAGAGGCTCCGGGGCTGGACACCCGAGCACGCGCCTCTCAAGTGCGCACTTATCAGGTATTGTGAAAACCAGTGTAGAACGAGGATGGACCGTGGCAGGCAATCATTTTCTTCGTGCTTTGCTAACTATCAATGACTGTGAACACTTAACCACTTCAAGCAGACGTTACACTTACCGTGGTTAACCAACCGCTTCAAACAGAAATAAACAGTTGTAAACTGTAAACGTGATACAAACAGCTGGAATTTCTTGCCATGTCATATCATCAGCAACGGAAACGTTGCAACACGCAAAAACCAAGAGCTGCAAATATTCTTTCTCCCCAAACGAATAAATAAGTGCAAGTATTTACAAAAACCCACTTAGCCACAGCCCCACGCTCCTAAAACACAGTCGGAAGTGGGCGTGGCCAGCGCGCTCACCATCTCTGGTAAAGGTAGACCAGGAAGACCACGTCGTCCCGGAAGCAGGCCAGCCGGTGTGAGGTGGGCATGGTGATGATGAAGGCAAAGACGTCGTCGATGAAGGTGTTGAAAGCCTGCAAAGCCAGACAACAGGGCCACTGTAGCTCAACTTAAAACGCCCAAGGGAATGGCTAGAATGTATCCCTCTCTGTAACCTCATAAATGAGCAAATTACTTTACAGCAAATAAGCTGCAGTTTACATGCTGAAAAATAAACGACCCCTTAGAGCAGCAATAAAGAAGGCAGAAAAAACCATGTGGAGAAATACTTAGGGCTCCAATGGCCTGGGACCAAGTGAGCATGAAAAAGAACAGGCCCTGCAGCAGCCCTCTGGATGAGTCTCCACCTGCGCTGGGGTCTCAGGGCATCTACACCAAGCACCAGGCCTGGGTTCTCCAAACACAGAGGGAAGCTGAGGAGGACTGTTCTCGAAACACGGGTAACTGCACCTGCCTGTTACCAAGAAGAAGAGAATGGCTGTTTCTTCTTCTCAGAACATGTAATTTTACCTCATAAAAGTGAAAAACACATTTAACTCAGTTTCTTTCTCCCTATGTGGAAGCCCAGGCCTCGCCAGAAACTTCCAGCATCAGGCTGACCCTGGGGGATTTCCACACAGTCTGTGTAACTGGACCCATCATTTTATTTTACTTTTATTTGTGTTATGTCAGGAAAAGAAAACCAATCTTTCTATTTTTCGCCTAGAATGGTTTGGGGGAAATGAGGCAGGGAGTAAAATGAGTATGAATACCGCACACCTGTGTTACCGCTCAGGATCTGCAGCGTATATGAACACAGGGCACTTTCCCCTGCTGTATTTTTCCTAAGGGTAAAACGTGTGAATTGGAGAAGCTTTAGAAAAAGCAGTTCCTGAGTGGTACAAACAGTTAACGCACTCAGCTGCTAACCAAAAGGTTGGGGTTCTAATCTATCCAGAGGTGCCCAGAAGAAAGGCCTGGCCATCTACTTCAGAAAACTCGGCCACTGAAAACCCTACGAAGCACAGTTCTCCTCTGACACACGAGGTTGCCATGGCTTTAGGAGAAGCAGACGAGCACCAAGGAGCACACAATTGTCTGCAAGCCCCACAAACACGCACGCAGACCAAACAGCATGCCTCCACCTACCTTGTAGGTGAACGCCTTCCAGGGCAGATGTGCCACCGACTTCATCTGTTGAAGCCACCGGCCAGTGCGGATTTGTGGAAAGACACAATCACAGGATCAGTCATCAGTCATCAACGAGAACAAGGGGGCAAGTGCCCAGACAGAAACGCTGCTCTCACCTTGTAGTTCACAAAGAGCTGGGGTAGCATGAAGAGAAAGCCAAAGGCGTACACTCCTAAGGGAGAAGACAGACAACACGCGTGACCACGTGGCCGACGCGCACATCAGGAAACATCTCATGTCAGACTTCAAAGACTGAGGGTCTATACCATGGAGCTTTCTGGCTGGTCAATTACCAACAGTCAAGAATGACTTCAGAGTGCAAGTTCTTTTTATTAATCACATGGCTCCTGCCGGTGGACAAGCGGATGCTGAGCCGGCCTCACAGGGAAGCTGGTGAAGCCTCAGCTTCCAGCCCCCAGGGGCTGCCTTGGGGACAGAGAGGGGAGGGAGGGAGTATCACAACTGGAATCCCACCCTGGTGAATACAACAGTCAACGGGCCCGTCAGCTTTCTGCTGTTGTATTCTGCTTGGCTGTGGGATGTGCCGCTGGCCTTTAGGTCTGTGAGGCCACTTCCCAGAGAGAACAGAAGCTTCCATTAGGGTCAGGCTGGTGGGGTAGGTGGGATGCACACAGCAGCCAAGTGCAGTAAACAAGTCCCTGCAAGAAGGAAAGCGCACCCTCCCTCTCAGGACGCAGAAGGGCAGAACCTAACCACTGGGGTTGAGCCAGAGTCCACGTGAGTTTATTCACAGGGGACTGGCTAGATCATTCTGGAATGTCTGTACAAAGTCACACGATATACTCTGGGTTTTGGTTTTTTTAGTTTGCTCTAAGGAATCATAAGGAGTCCCTGGGTGGCGCAAGCAGTTAAGTGCTCAACTACAGCCAAAAGGCTGGCGGTTCAACGCCACCCAGAGGCACCTCAGAAGACAGGCCACAACCTTGAATACTCCACAGAGCTGTCTCCTGTGCAGACGAGGTTGGCTAGACGGCAACTAACAGCACGTAACTGTGTGAAAGGCAGTACTATTTCAGTGCTTATGTTTAACTGTTTCCACGAAGAAAAGACACTGGCTTGTGGCTACAAGTCTAGGAGCACCGTTAGTTCAGCCTCCAGGACAGAGCTCAGCCTCCAGCTCTGGGCGCCACGTGTGAGCAGCAGCCCAGTGCACTGTGGAGGCATCTCAGCAGTGAACAAACCTCAACTGCAATCAGCCAGGTCCTTTCACAGTGGGTGACGGGGTGCAGGGACGATAAAAACAGCACCTACAAGTGTAAACGCCGCTACTGAAATGGGAAGGAAACACTACTCACCGTTGACGAAGCTGTTGATCAACCAGGAATACCAACTAAAATGGGAAAAAAAAGGTATTTTAACCTTTCAAAAACCCTAATTTCACACAGAATACTTGTTGTAAACCAACTAAAAGTGACTCTTTCATGAAAACCCTTTCATAAACATTCGAGAACTCTAGTGCTGCCAGGGAAGGGAAGAACGGCCGCCTTAACAAGAGCTGTGGCATCTGAACACTGGGGAACACCAGGGGCTGCCAGGGAAGTGCCGGGGGAGCAAGCTGCCCCTCGTTTAGATCTGCCTGCTGCCACAGCGGCACCCCCAGGAGGCCTGGCAGGATCAAGGGGACCCTGTACAGACACCTGTGCCAACAGGAAAGGCGGGCGAGAGGCTCCCCAGGACAGCCCACGTGGCAGGGCACTGCTGTCCCTACAGGAACGTCACAAGATTGCCAAGCAGCAGCTGCAGGTGCCCAGCTGTCAAGGCCGGCCTCCCTGACTGAGACCGTGCCGCCAGCACTGCACCCTCGTCCCTGTCCAAGTCCGCTCCCTCGCTGATGCCCTGGAACACGGCAGCCGCAGTTAGTCAGCAGCCTTTTCCCTTGCCAAGGTCTATCCGACCCCATCCGACAAACCTGTGCTGGAGTAGGAGAAAGCCTGCATCCCCCAGGCTGGACGATGTGACTACATGCCACTGCACGGGGAATGGCGGGCAAAGGGAGGCAGAATTCTGCTGAGCTCAAGGTCATTAGTTACCCACAACTGGGTCTTCGGCTCAGAGCTGGGCTACTGGCGAGACCGCCCCTGAGTACCCACTGTCCTCACCATGACCGCAGTGCGGTGCTGTTACCAAGACTGCCTTGTCCAAAGCCCCACAGCAGCCGCAGGTGGCAGGGCAGAGACTGAAACTGACATGGTTTGAGCACAGCACCACCAGGCCCAGCCCACCCCAGGCCCAGCCTCCCCGCCAGGCGCAGCTTGCTTCACACTCACGCACTAAACTTCGTGAGCCAGCCAGTAACTCCAGACACATGTGTCCACTGAAAAGTGTTAACAGGTGTTAGGTCTTTACAGCCTCCTACCTTTTATACTTGATGTTCAGGAGTGAATAAACGGCTCCACCGATGCAGAGAGGATAGAGTAGGTAAGACAAGTATTTCATGGCCTGACAGGAAACAAAATTAATCTCCAGTTAAATATTCCAAGCATTACAACTCTCTAAATGGAGTTCATGGAACTAATCGATCTCAATCAAAAATAAGCAAAAAAGACACAAAATCTATGACTCATCACAGAATAAACAAAAAATAAACAAAATGGAAAGTATACACTCAGAGAGCCTTCTGCATGAGGTACTAATATAACTGTTTTATCCTGATGTGAAGTTTTGTATAATCTCAATAAAAACTGGAGTGTAAACTGATGCCTTGTCATTACTGTAAGATGCTGTCAAGTTGGTATGACTCTTCAGCTATAAAATAAACCATCCCTTTGTTAAGAAATGTTACATTAAATCCAACTCAGAAGTCCAGCTCCCTAAACAGTGTTTGGTGACAGCAGCCTCCCCACACAGAGCGTTTCGCACGGCGCACCATGCAGCCTGGCCGACCCATAGCCCTGCCGACCAAGTGAGACCTGCCCGTGACTGTCACCGTGGACACACTGGGTGGAGAGAATCTGTTATAGGAAAAACGAATGTTTCCCCACCGTAAGCGATGGCACGGCCTGGTTTACCTGCAAGCACTGGGAAATGAGGGAGAATCTCTCACCATCCCTTCTTTCCCAGGCCTGAAATTTAGGCTCCACATGCTCACACACTTGGGGTCACTGCTCCAGACAGTGCCAGTCACCATGTCAAGGAAGCAATTATTTTCCCCCATGTTGTACAGTTACAGTAGTCCCTGGGTGGCGCAAACGGCTAAACGCTCAGCTGCTTACCAAAAGGCTGGCAGTTCAAGTCCACCCCGAGGCATCTTGGAAGAAAAAAAGTATCAGCCACTGAAAACCCTAGAGTGCAGTTCTACTCTGACACACCTGGGGGCGCCCTGAGTCGGCATCACCGCCACAGCACCCAGGTCGTCTGTTGTTGTTGTTTTATAATTAACAGTAACAGTGTTATTTGCTAGGACGTTAGATTATCTTTATTTGCATACGTGCACACTCCGACCCAAACCACCCAGGCTTACCTGAGTATCGTACTCCTCAGTTTTCCTTTCGGATTCACTGTAAGTGCCAAACTGTTTTAAAATTCAACAAGACAATTTTAATTAGTCTAAGGAAGGAATATATGAGCACAGCTTAGTTATATTACAGACCTAGTGATAGTTATGACTGAAGAAACGAAGGGTTTCACACGTGGCTATGAAGCTAACAAACGGCCGGGTGGGCGTCTGCCATCAGCTCACGCACTCAGGAAATGCCAACAAAGGCAGGGCCACCGGGCTCTTTCCCTGAGCCGTCATCAGTGCCTTCTCTTGGTCCCTTCACGGAGCCACGGAGGGACTCACAAACTGGACAAAACACGTCTCCTACCCTGGAGAGCAGTGACCCCAAGGGGAGGCATTTCAGCCACCGTCTGGTACAGGGCCGTCCAGCCTTCACTTTGGCACCTGGATTTCCACCAAGCCACACCAGGTGTTACGCGTGGGTGGGACCACGGCCCACTAGGGTGTGTTTTACTGACCTGAGCTGCTCGACATTTCAAATTCTGTTGGTTCCTTACAGTGGAAACACTTCCTTTCTACAGATGTACTGTTGACAGTGCTCTGAATTATACACAGTGCTATACATCACCAAATGTGAATTCATTGGGCCATTACTAGAATACACCAAACTACGTCATATTTTCTGAACTTTCTGTCCTCGGTCTATTTAGAAATTGGAAGACTTGAACCCTGTGAAATTGTGAGGTTCTGACTCAGTGGAAGCACTTCACAGAAAGTAGAATGTTCCATGACTGTAAATCTCAAACTGACGTTTAATTCTCAGCCTTGAACAGCCTGGGAAATCGATCAACACTTAGTTACTGGGAATAACTACAGCCTTAAAAGAAGGGAGAAGGGACTGTCTTTTTGGGAATTGGGCCTGAGCTTTACTCCTCAATAGTGTTACCCCATGTACAGGGGCACGGAGATAAGTGAAGGCCTGGACGCAGAACAGGGACCAGCTTTCAGCAGGTTCTGACAGAAGGGCTAACTCTCGCTTCGAGCGGGGTCAAATATAGGTCGTGTGACTGGAGACTGCGTGAACAGAGGAAGACCTAGCTGTGATAAGAAAGCCAGTGTGAAGCCTATGGCGGAGCTCCGTTAGCAAGAGAACTCAAGAGCGATGGCACGGCCTGGCCAGACTCTGCTCCAGCTCTCCTCACGCACCTCTGGCATCATCGTCAACTCCTCTGCTGACAGGAAACACTGTATCGGACAAGATGACTGACAACCCCCAGGGAGCTCAGTGCCTACCAGAGGGGTGCAAACACGACACCCACGACTCTGGTACGCAGGAACAGAAGGGCAAGATGGACGCAGACGGGACAGCGGAGAGAGTCACAGGCTCCTCAGAGAGGACATGGGGTTAGTCATTGTGAAAGATTTACCTGAAATTCAGGTCTGAGGCCTCTCCAAACAATAGTCATTTTCAATGCCTTTTTCACCTTCCATAGCTGAGAGGAAAAAATGAAAAAATTATAAACCTAAGACGCCAAGACTCAAGAGAGGCCCAAATTAAATACTTGAGCGAGAGACAGAGGTGGACTCCCAGTCGGTGGCCTCTGACTGCTTGGGCCCCGCTTCCTCCATGGCCGGCCTCCCAGCCTGACTGCTCTTGCTTTCTGCACTATTGCCTGCAGTCTGGACACTGCCCTGGGCCTCGGGTCCTTGCCCTCTACTCCTGCGCTCAGTGACCTCATGCGCTCACGTGGATTCTGCAATCACCTCTCGGGGGAATCTCAGGAAGCCCGTCTCACTTGCAGCTCCCTCACAGATGGGGCACTTGGGTGACGCACCTGCCTTCAGGTCAGCCTCCCCTACCACTCCGTGGTACCTGGGGGAAGACTAGGATGAGACCTTGACTCTTGGCTCTAAGTCCTGCCAGCGCCCGTCTCCCTGGGATCCACGCCCCACTCACTGTCCTCACAGTCCTACCAGCGCCCGTCTCCCTGGGATCCACGCCCCACTCACTGTCCTCACAGTCCTACCAGCGCCCGTCTCCCTGGGATCCACGCCCCACTCACTGTCCTCACAGTCCTACCAGCGCCCGTCTCCCTGGGATCCACGCCCCACTCACTGTCCTCACAGTCCTACCAGCGCCCGTCTCCCTGGGATCCACGCCCCACTCACTGTCCTCACAGTCCTACCAGCGCCCGTCTCCCTGGGATCCACGCCCCACTCACTGTCCTCACAGTCCTACCAGCGCCCGTCTCCCTGGGATCCACGCCCCACTCACTGTCCTCACAGTCCTACCAGCGCCCGTCTCCCTGGGATCCACGCCCCACTCACTGTCCTCACAGTCCTACCAGCGCCCGTCTCCCTGGGATCCACGCCCCACTCACTGTCCTCACAGTCCTACCAGCGCCCATCTCCCTGGGATCCATGCCCCAATCACTGTCCTACGGCCGCACTCTGACCGCCATCACTGACTGACATCAGCACCATCGTGACTGCCTTCCTGATCCGTTTTCACGTGGTGACTTTCGACTCACAGGCTGCTCCAGTATGGCTTAAGCCCACTCTCCCTTGGCGGGCACTGCAGCTATGGTTCTTGTCCTACAGCACACCCTCAGCACCGCCAGCAGGCCTGGCGCAAACGCTGCCTGTCCCAGTGCGCAGGGCGTCCCATGCCCACTCACTGTCAAAGGGGCAGTGTGCACACAGAGCCGTCCTCATCCACCCTCTGTCTCCTCCTCATTCCCAGGCCCTGTCACCATCCTTCGAGGCTTGCCCCCAAGCCTGGTCTGTCCCATGAGCTCCCCCTTTCCTAAGCCCCCACAGCCAGGCCTGGATCGTGTGGTGCCAAGTGACTTCAACTACCACCACCGGACTGTCTCAAATCTCCACTCACACCGTAAGTGCTCTGAGTGCAGAGGCCACATCTTGCTTCGCTACAGTGCCCAGTGCAGCACACTCACAGGAGAGTCAAGCTTGTTAAAACCCATCAGCTTGACGGATGCAATCTCATTCAGCTGACGCTTATAAGAAAAAACAAACATCCATCAACAACCATCTTTTCCTGCTCTCAATTTGTTGACTTTTTACAGCAGCTACCTACCTTTCCTGACAGTCTTTTTTCATTTATTCTGCTGTAAGTGAAAATTTACAATTCAAGTTACTCATACACAAATATATACACACATTGTTATGCGACCCTAACTGCTCTCCCTATACTGTGACAGCACACTCCTCCTTTCCACCTTGGATTTCCCACGTCCATTCAACCAGCTCCTGACCCTCTCTGCCTTCTCATCGCACCTCCGGACAGAAGCTGCCTATTTAGTCTCATGTATCTACTTAAACTAAGAAGCACACCCTTCACAAGTAACATTTTATGTCCCATAGTCCAGTCTAACCTTTGTCTGAAAAGTTGGCCTCAGGAACGATTTTAGTTTTGGGCCAAGAGAGAGTCCGGGGGCCATGTCTGCCAGGTCTCTCCAGGCTCAGCCTGATGGTCTTTTAAGACCCGCACCATCAGCACTGATCTGACCCCTCAGGTGAAAGCATGCATGTTTTAATAAAGGCTCTCGTATTTTAGGATTCAGAGAACTTTCACAAGTGCCTTGAGGGCCACTAGACTGTAGCAAACAAAATTTGAACTATCTGCCCGTGGCTTCTGGGCCCTCCCGGACACTCACTTCAATGGCTGCTCCGATGCCAGCAGGGATCAGCACTAGTAGACTCGTCTGCTCATCCAGAAGGAAAAGGAATATCACCACGGTGCTGAAGCAGCGCCAGAGCACTAGGGGAAAACATGGTAATACGTCACGTTCGAAGGAACCTCAGAAAGTCATTTCATTTTGGGGCCTGGCATTTCTATCTCCTAGTTTATTGGGGCGCCTCACTCACCACTAAGTTCTAACTCAAACCACAGCTGACGTGTAGAGAACAGCAGGGCTTTCAAACCTATGGAGTCTGAGGGTGGTGCAGAGAGTTAACATGCTCAGCTGCTAACTGAAAGGTTGGAGGTTCGAGTCTATCCAGAGGCACCTCAGAAGAGAGGCCTGGCAATCTGCTTCTGAAAAATCAGCCACTGAAAACCCTACGGAGCACAGTTCTACTCGGATACATGTAGGTCGTCATGAGTCAGTCAACTCGAGAGCAACTAGTTTGAACCTAGGTGGGTAACTTTGAGAAAAAAAACCCAGCAAAATAAGCCACAGAAATACCTTTTCTCATTATTAAATATGGTCAACAAAGGAAGCAGAAAACCTAAGTGGACTATAAAGAACATGTTTCGAGACAAAATACATTGTATATCTTGGGAAAAAAAGCCAATTTGAGTCAAAGGGCTAAATCTGTACGGAGCCACTTTCATTACGATTCTAAATATATCTATTTTCACTTTCTGTGAAATGCACACCCACCAACGAACCACTAGAACTGCCTGCCGAGCGCTTCCACCTGGGCTGGGCCTGGGTGAGGAAGAGAATGCTGTACATACACCACATCCTGCCTCCCACCAGCCCCAGTTGGAGCTCAGCCTGCCATGAACTAGCATTTGGCCTCAGGCCACCCACCTACCCAACCCAGCAATAAAGTGCTCACAGCAGCAAAGACCCCAAGGATCCCTGAGGCTACTTCCTGTCTAAAACTCCCAGCACTCCAACAGTATTGGCACTGAAACAGTATTTCACTTTTTCACAGGCTCCCTTAAGGGAACACACACGTGCATGTACAACCCTCCTCCCCATCCGGTGTACCCCAAACTCATGTCTTCCCAGAACCTCAAAATGTGACCTTATTTGGCAACGGGGTCTTTGCAGACCTAATCAGCTAAGAGGGGGGTGTACTGGAGGGGCAGGTCTTGGTGCAGCACACTGGTGTTCTTATGAGCAGGGGGGTGGGGGGCGACACAGACAGAGAGAGAGGGGAGAGCACTGCGTGAAGACGGAGGCAGAGACAAGGAGCGCCGAGGGAAGTGAGGAGACAGGCATGGAATGGATTCGGCCTCACAGCCTCCAGGAGGAATCAGCTCTGCCCACCCCTTGGCTCTGGACTTCCGGCCCCCAGAATCGTTGTTTTAAGCCACCTAGTTTCCGGTACCGTTACAGCAGACCTAGGAAACTCATCCACATGGTAACGCTATAGTTATATGTGTATGTAAACATTTGTAAATACATAAACACACAGATTAAAAAAAAAAAAAGAACACCACGAAAAATAGTTGACTGTGCGGCTTAAACAAGTTTCGTTTTCCTGTTTTCTAACTTTATATTTTTCTGCACTTACACCAGCTCTATGGTAAATGTATATTTCTTTTAAAAGTTTTACTCAAAAAAAAACCACCCTAGCATATTTGTGCCTCTCTGCCTCCATCACTGTCGCGGTAACTAAACCGCACTCCATCCAAGGCTTGAGCAGCACACCAGCAGTGCTCACGGAGCGTGAACGCAGAGCGTCACGGGACACGTGGAACGAAGCCCCAGGGAGTCTCGGCAGGAGGTGCAGGGACCCACAACTCCTTTCATGGAACAGTCTGGCCCACATGGTCAGTCTCCCTCTGCCGGGAATGCGGGTCCTCAGATCTCGATGTGCCCTGTCTCCCTTTCTCTGGAAAAGCCTTCCTGACCATCCTGAAGTAGCACCACTCACTCTAGTAGACTGGGCTCAGCGTCTCCTTCCCGCACAGCACCGCTACTGCCTGGTGCCCCATCTACCTGCTGACTGACCTGCTTCCCCCAGGGCTCAGCTTCACCTTCCTGCACACCACCGCTACTGCCTGGTGCCCCATCTACCTGCTGCTGACTGACCTGCTTCCCGCCAGGCTCAGCTTCACCTTCCCACACAGCACCACTACCTGGTGCAGCATCTACCTGCTGACTGACCTGCTTCCCCCAGGGCTCAGCTTCACCTTCCTGCACACCACCGCTACTGCCTGGTGCCCCATCTACCTGCTGACTGACCTGCTTCCCGCCAGGCTCAGCTTCACCTTCCCACACAGCACCGCCACCTGGTGCAGCATCTACCTGCTGACTGACCTGCTCCCCCGCCAGGCTCACGTGGCCTAGGCTCTGAGTGGTGGCTGCTGCGGCCCCAGGGCCTAGAACACTGGCCTAATGGACACTCAGGTGCTTCTGAAAGAATGCAACAATGCATGCAATAACATACATACGCTTGATGCCTTTCACGTGTTATTTTCTTTCATTCTTTCAAATGTACCATAAGAAAGAATTATCACCTTCGTTTTATGGAGAAGACAGTTCTACAATCATAAATACGTGTCCAAGACACATGGTCGGCAGGTCGGGATTCCATCCCAGACCACCTGTCTCCAAACACAGAGCCTACCTCCACCAGGAGGCCCTTCCAGTAGATGCTGCTGATGCAAAGGATCAAAAAGTGTTCGGTGCTCAGCTGGCTCGGCACCCACCTAAGGACTCCTCACCTGTCTCCTGACTAAGCTCTCCTGTGGCCCACCAACACATGCCGGCCACACTGCACAATTACAAATCTCCAGAGTTTGGCACTAATGGCAACAGCCTGTTGGACAATTTTGTGAACACTTTAGCAACCTGAAAGAGAACAGCCTGTGGCATAAGGCCGAGGGTGTGACAAGACTGTAGAAAACTCAGACTAAGTGAATGGGAAGAAGCCTTTGCAGAAAGGGAGGAGACGGAGGACGAGACGGCGGTAATGGAGACAGAGGAGGGACAAGTGTGAAAGGAGAGGAAGCAGCCTGCAAGTCTCCATGCTCTGAAGGTGAGGCAGGGGTCCGGCTGGAAGAGGCAGGCGCACGAAGGCAGGAAGGATGCTAAATCCCAGCCTTCCAATAGCTCTCACAGCACCCAGGGGTCTCGCCTCCGCCTGCCCAGGCCCACAGGCCCCATGTACATCACAGGTTCCAGAGGGTCCGTGCATCCTCCAAGTCTCAAGAGCCCTTCCATCCTCTGCTGCACCCAGGCTGCCCGACAGTCAGGTTTACAAGCTGTTTGCCATGATCGCAGAGATAGTTCTCTGGGTGCTAGGATATATGATCTCAGGAAGGGTCTCAGGAACCAGGAATAAGGGCTACAAGCTAAAGGCTGTGTCTATAATTCACATTTATCATGTATAATCTTAAGTTTCACAACAGAACCTTAAATTTGTCTTCATCAATAGTAGGTTACACTTTACTGAAAGGGCCAAAAAATTCTTGGACTATCTACCTGCTTTGGTGGACATTCCAATCATGCTCTTCTTTTTCTTCCAGAAACTGATGTCATTTTTAAACGCCAGGAAATCGAAAAGGAGCTGAAAATAACAAACACGACAAGAATTTACACCTAAAGTTGGTTCTCTCGCTGTGTTCAGCAGATAAAACGCAGACCTGTGAACCTAATCTCAGTACATCACAGGACCTCCCAGACTCTTCCAAGTGTCTTGTTTGCCCACCTCAGAATCATCGCAGTCAAATGTTTAGTTTTGCGAGGGCACTTTTGAAAATAAGCACTTTTGACTCAGAACGTGGGGGAAATGCCCACAGGAATGTTCCACACTTGCTTTTTCCACTGTGAATTGCCCTCAAGCTCGCAGTTCTGGGAGATCAAATGGTTGGGTGCTCGGCTGCCACTAAAGCAGAAGGGCCCTGTTCCCGGGGCCACCGTTTCCTTGGCGTGAGCACCTTCACCCTTCACTACCTTAAAAAAACGCATGAGCTACTTCTTACAGACACTGACCTTTTAATAAAAAACATCATTAAACTTCCCAGGACAGTTCTGGAAAGCTGTCGTTTGGTAAGGAGCCCTGGTGGCGCAATGGTTAAGCGCTTGGCTGCTAACTGAAAAGTCATCAGTTCAAACCCACCAGTCTCTCCGTGGGATCAAAGACCAGGCGATCTGCTCCCATAAATATTATAGCCTTTGCAGGAAACCCTATGGGGGCAGTTGTACTGTGTCCCGTAGGGTCGCTGAGTCAGAACTGACTCGATGGCACACAGCAGCAGCAGCAGCCTGACTGGTGGCCACATGCAAAGGCACTTGGCACTGGCTTTACCACTGACTCCACACATCTCCCAACCAGCAGACGAAGCACAAGTCATTCGGGCTGTGGCACCGTGTTCCTGGGCCCACACCGTCACGCCTCCCTTGTCTGGGCTGGGAGACAGCACACGAGGAAGGCCACAGTCTCAAGGCTGCGGGCCACTGAAGAGCTAGAAGGGACACTGAACAACCACAGGGCCGAGCGGTGCTGCACCAACCACCCCGAGTAAGCTGATCTCAGCTGAGGACAACCAGGAGCCTGGGGCACTGCCCAGAGCCTGCAACTAACGTTCGCTGACGACAGGCCGGTGACCCACTCACGTGGAATGCTGCGACAAAGAAGGTCAGAGCTAAGAAATACAAGTTGGTGTCTACAAAAATTCCTTTCACTTCATCGGCATCCTTCTCTGAAAACCCTGCAAAGGGAAGAGAAAACACATACTGTAGTAGGAAACGGGCAATTTTACCTAATCCTACAAAAATATGTCAGCATGTAGAAAATTACTTAAATCTTGTCAAAAGTTCATTGGACCAAGATTGTGGCATTTCAACTACTCCGTTCTGAAGAAAGACAAATTTCAGATCATTGCCAAGCATATGTTCAAAGACAGAAAACGGAAACCAGATCCCACTGATCTCTTCAATTAGAATCACGTGGAAGATGCTGCACTGACGTACACAGGCTGCTCGAGCTTGTGGAGAAGTAAATACGGGTTGGGCCTGAATGAATCCTCCGTAAATAAAATGAAACTAAAGGACGGCTTTCACCTGTCAGTCTACGGTTTAAACAAAGGTTCCCCATAAAGCTGACTCCGATGCAGCCGACTCAGGCCGGGGAGGCCGAGCGCCAGGTGGACGCACCGAACTGCTGCAGGGAGTACACGGCATCCTGCATGTGGATCCAGAAGCGGAGCTTGCCCAGAGAGATCTTGTCGTAGGACACTGTGAGTGGCAGCTCCGTGGTCGAGCGGTTTATGACCTAAAGTGAAGAACAAGACATTAGGAAGTACAACTGCCCAGCCCTAAGATCACCAGTGAAGCCTCTCGGGGGACAGCGCATGCCCTCCGCCGTCACCCTCAACAGCCCTCACTCTGAGGGCTTGACACACAATGATCACCACCTCAGGGGCTTCACTGTGGCTCTGCTCGGCCCACAGAAAGTCTACTCGCGGGTCGCGTTTACATCCCGGGCCCTTCGCAATCAGACCTAAGACAGCATTCCCAGCCTCCCCTCCCCCGCCCTATCCCAGGCACTCAGAGTCCTGTCACACTGTTCCCTCAAGGGGGCAGATGTCCGCCTCCATAAACGCTCACAGCCTTTCTCCTGGAGGAAACGCTGTCCTTCCTCCCCTCCACTTCCTTGAACCCTACACGTCTCTTCAGACCCATGTCCCTCTGCGAGCTCATCGTTCCTCTGCCCGTTCTGCCTTGTGTCACTCTTCTGGCACCGACGGCAAGCCCCACATGGCCAGGAGATGTGCTCATTGACCAGCATTTGCCGAGAACCTGCTGTGTGCAGGAGCTGAGCTCAAGCCCGAGGGAGCTGCTGCACCTTTCCTGAAAGAATTAGAACCTGAACAAGGGGGCAGTGGTGGTTCAGGAGTAGAATTCTCGCTTTCTGTGAGGGAGACCTATGTCTGACTCTGGACCAATGCACCTCTCGCGCAGCCACGTCTGTCAGTGGAGACTTGTGTGTTTTAATGCCAAACAGGTTTCAGTGGCATTTCCAGATCAAGAAAGACTAGGAAGAAAGGCCTGGAGCTCTACCTCCCAAAATCAGCTAATGTAAACCCTATGGATCACAACAGTCTGATCCACAACTGATCATGGGAATGCCACAGGACCAGGCAGCATTTTGTTCTATTGTGCATGCGGTCACCGTGAGTCAGGGCAGACTTGAAGGCAGCGAACCATAACAACAAAACCTGAACAGTCACCCTTGTCAAGGAAGGGCTATAATGACACCATGATACCACAGATCGGTAACAGAACTTTCAAAAAATGTTTGTACTTAGTATACAGCAAAAAAAAAAAAAAAAAAACCCACTGCCATTGAGTCGATTCTGGCTCACAGCGACCCTATAGGACAGAGTAGCACTGCCCCATAGGGTTTCCAAGGAGCGCCTGGTGGATTCAAACTGCCGACCTTTTGGTTAGCACCCATAGCTCTTAACCACTATGCCACCAGGGTTTCCAAAAAGCCTACAGCACCCAGTATTCCCAGGCGGTCTCCCATCCAAGTACTAACCAGGCCCAACCCTGCTCAGCTTCCAAGATCAGATGAGATCCCCTGCGCTCAGGGTGGTATGGCCAAAGACTAGTACACATAGTGACTAGTAAATGTTAATCAGTATTATTATCCATTTCCTTTACCCTCCAACAACGCTGGGAGATCTGGGGCTGTTGCTGCCACTGTAGAAATAAGAACACCAGAGCCTGGGGCAGGGCTGTGGCTGTGAGGCAGGAATGGTGCCTTCTGTCCGTAGCACGTCCCAGCCATGCCCAGGGGCCACACTCAGGAGTCACGGGCCTCCCAGGCTCTGGCGCTGCACTCAGCACGCTTCAGGCAGGGCCACCAACTCTCTTCTGGCCCCGGGGGGGAAGCAGGCGGTTACTCAAGATACTGCTGAATGACTGTGTGCCTCTTGTCCAGGAATCGAGGATTAAACCGGACAAATACTCATAAGCGGTTTCAAATGGTACACTGCCCCTTCCGTGAGAGCTCAGTATCCAGCTGCCCAAGCAATAAAGTGTTTCTCAAGTACATTTTATCCCCAAGGAGGGGTGAGTGGCTGGTCAAACGAGACCACGAGCCCACCCCAGCACAGCCCTCTCACATCCCAAAAGCAGCACTTTCCACCCTATGAGATAGACATGCACCAAATTTTAGAAACAATCATAGGAGTTATTCATGCCAGGACTAAGGCAATGGCCACACACACAAACCAGTATTACCACTGGTATACTGCAGACCACAGTATTTTCAAACGAACTAAAATGAGAGAATCACTTACCATCAGATCCTTCACTCGATTGCTCAGCTGATCGATGAACAGGATGGGGAGGTAATGGACAGTTTTTCCTAACTGGATCCTATGGTATTAAACAGTTTAAGTCAATATGAACACTGTTACCTTTAGATGAACAAATGTCCCCAAGAAACTGGATTCACCTAGGAGAAACACCCACCCCCATTACCTTGAACTCTTTCTCAGTCACAATCATCCCAGGTCATAACCTTTCATACGAAAGCAGAAGAATCTAATAACGTACCCTCGTCAGAAATACCCCTTATTCACTAAAACAGCTGTAGCAGAAGATACAGGGAATAACCTAAATAGCCACCAGTAGGCGAGGGGGTAAATAAACTGTGAGACAGTTTTACACTGGAAAATCTTTAAAGTTGTTAAAACAAAAAACAAAAAAAAGAGGAACCTATTTATGTCCTGATATGGAATGACAGACACCCATGGAAGCAGCAGTCAAGAAATCAAACAATGTATTGCACTGGGCAAACGTGCTGCAAAAGAACTCTTTCCAGTGTTGAAAAGCAAAGATGTCACCTTGAGGACTGAAGTGGGCCCGACCCAAGCCACGGTCTTTTCAATTGTCTTATATGCATGCCCAAGTTGGACAATGAAAAAGGGAGACAGAAGAATAATTGATGCATTTCAATCGTGGTGTTGGCAAGGATACTGAATATACTTGTACTGCCAGAAGAACAATCAGTCTTACAAGAAATACAAACAGAATGTTCTTTAGATGCGAGGATGGCGAAACTTCAGCTCACTTACTTTGGACATGCCATCAGGAAAGACCAATCAAAATAATTTAACCTAAGGCTTCCTCCAAGTATGGGAGACAAAGGATAATTTAAGTTGGTCAAACGTTTGAATCTTAATAGTTATGTTTAACCAGTGATGACAAATGATACTACAGTAATGATCTAAACATAAATTTCTAGGCACATTTAAATGAGTCAAGTTAAGAAAACATGGGGCTAATACGCAGAATTGTCTGCACAAGGGGGGTGCAAAGTGATTCAACTTTGCAAAACTATCCTCTAATCAGTACTTTCCATTTTCACCGCCATGGAAACTTTTACCAAGAGCAAAGGGCAAAGTTTATCAGTTTCAAATTTCATTCTCTTTCCCCTCCCAACTCTTTGGTGGCAATCTAATCAGCTTGCCTGCCAAGAGGAGGTTTCAAAAGAGAGGCGGGAGGGAGAAAAACCGAGAGCACGCTGTGCACCCGCCTTGGGTCCTCTGGCTTAGAGCCTGAACAAGAGTTCCACCTGAGTGACAGAGACGTGACCCGTACTGGTCGGTCACCGCCCATGACAGGCGACACTTACATCTTCATGTACCGATGCACATCAGCCGGGAGAGAAGACCCGTCAAAGACAAAGTCATCCACCATCACGTTCAGCGTCAGCCTTGGCCGCCAGTGAGAAACGGGCTCATCCAAGGCATTGGTCTGCTTCTTTTCAGCTTCAATCTGCTGTTATATACAGTGAATGACTTATTAGGAACGACAGAGACTGCCTGAAAGGGCAGCAGGGCAGCACCTTTACTCTACCAGCATAACCAGGGAAAGAAGCGCTGGTGGGGTGGGGGACAGGACGGGCAGCCCTGTGGCTGCCAATTACCCCAGACTCTTATCACACACCCATCATTTCCTTCTCTCAACAGAAGACAGAAGTGGTGCTATTCTTGTCACATGTGCTCACTGAACTCAGAGTCGCTTTCTGATCCTCCCCCTAAGCAGGCCCACTTCTCAGGGGAGCCCTGTGACATTTGCTGACTTCACAAGTCTGGACTTAAACACCGCCGTGATTTGTAATGACAGCAGAAAGACTGCTTCTAAACCAAGTACTTCGTCTGGAAGGAAATGTGTCAATGACTGGGCACCGACTTGCAATAAAATTAAATTCAGAAAAGACAATCTTAGTTTATTTCAGACCTAGTTATTCCATCTATGAAACAGATCTCCCACTGACAGGTACTATTCAGCTACAGTAATTCACAAGATGCGAACATCAGAACTCCCTTCTTTGACCAATGTTCCTCTATCACTTACGTGATTTCCAGTTTTTCTTTATACGTAGTTTTCTACAGATGCACAAAATACAATTTGTACATACAGCTTTTTCGTAATTTGAAATTCTGTTCTGAAGAATAAACATTCAAGAATTGTCCAGCCCTCTACGCAACTCACTGTGAGCCCACCAACTCTAAGTTACGACTTTGATGGGAAGGGGTAGGTGACCTGTGCAGACAGAGCTGCCCCGAGTGTACACAGCTCTCCGCTGGGAATGGGAGGGACCGAGGGTGCGAGAATGAATGTGGTAAAGAACGCCAGTTGTTTTCTTCAACTGCACGTCACTGGTGAAGTCACTAATTTGACACAAAAATTATCTGTAAACCCAGTGAAATTAGTTAACTAAAAAGTAAATATGTATGCCAGTAACATTCAAATGCTTAACTTTCCAATAAAGTCACAACAGCCCGAAACTGGGCGATACATGTACAAACACGCATGTGTACATTTAAAATGCCAGCAAACAAGCTTCATTCTGGTCAGGAATCAACCTCAGGAGCTCACCTGCGTAGCAGATTCGCCGGTGAGGAGATTGATTTCTTCGGGTTTGGGGACCATGTAGGTGGTGAGAGGGCTTACTAGGTGCACCTGCTTCCCATCGTGCCAAGGGAGAATCCCAGCATGATGGAGAAAAATGTAGGCATACAGCGTCCCATTGTTTCTTGTTTTCTTTGGTACAGAAACATTAACTGTCCTAAAACCAAGCAAATTATAATGTCAATCACATACGCAGAGACACACCATAGCAACCATGCCAACAGTTTACACCTAAGGCTGTTTCAAGCCAACCAAGTTTAGCACAGAAGTACTAAGAATGAAACTCACCTGCCTATGACTTCCTGACAGTACTAACATCGTGTTCATGGGCCAGGTGGTTTCTACGGCTCAGTAAATCATACAATTTAAAAAGCCCAGAGACAGAGATCAGACCCACACACCTGACCCAAGTAGAACCACATCCCCTGGGTGCTGCCTTTACACCAGTGGAAATGCTCAGAAATAGTGAGGGTAGGTTTTCGGTGTTTTGCTGGTTTGAAAAAAAAAAAAAGATGGACTTCCAGCCTCAGGTGCCTCCTGCCTGTGTAAGCATCACAGGGTCAAACTGAGCAGAAGCTCAGCAGGCCAGCACTGCACTCGGGCCTCAGACCATGCACCTGCACTCCATGCTCCAGCTCCAGGCTAGACCCCCTCGGAAAAGCAACACAGTCCACCTGTTAATGATTACATCAGCTCTTCCTCCTCCATTTTTAAAAAACGTTAAGGCCAAACTTCCAAGTAATTGCTGCTATCATGAGAGACAAAAGGAAATACATGACTCATCAGCATCAAACAGAAAGTGTCTCTCTACCCCTGGTATCTCTGAGCAGCTTTCCTCGCTCTCCACATGGACTGTCTATGGAGCATGGTGCTGGCACCCAGCTCCGGGCTGCACAGTAGCACTCCTGCTGAAACCAACACTCCGAGACAGGGCTAAGAGAGAGCATTTAAGGAAGACAATGAAGAGCGCTCCTTCTACTCTCTTTCCCCAACCCCCGTCTCAGCAAGATCCGGCCAGGAGAAATTAAAACCTCATTATCTCTCCTTGGTAACTAGTTCAGTGCCTGGTAGAGAGAAGGCAATACTCAGGTCTGTGAAACTAAACTGAACATTTTCTAAAAGCGTGGACAGCTGTAATCAAAAGCTGAAAGAGCCTCCATCTCCTGGAAGCTCAGCGAGGTCAGGTACTTGCTCAGGTCACAGAGCTAAGGCAGCCAAGCAGAAACTGGCCCCTAGGCCTGGTCAGTGTCAAGCCTGTGTGTGCCCCCACCCTCCCCGGGCTACCTCTCTGGTACCCAACGGGGGCCAGCTGACGGAGTACATTGTCTCCAGGCACAAAGTCACGTACTGTATTTACTGCCTTGTCTGATACCTCCCAGATAACGTAGAGAAAGTAAAATCTTGAAAAACAAATCATTTTTTAATTACTTGTTGATTGTTTTATAATTGGAACTATTTTAAATATAACTTGAAAAAGTTACTCTACATATTTAGATATATTTTATATTGTTTGACCTGTTCTGTTACATTTCACTCGATTATGATTTTCTGTCAAAATTTTTCCCACCATCCCCCATGTCTTTTCCTTTATAGGTAACTTAAGTGAACTACATCCACTAAGGAGGGCCAAGTCACTCACTGTTACGAATAGCAAAAGCTACCTGTTCTCTACTACATCATCCCCACCACGACACCTGCTCTTTTAAAACTCTCTGGCTGCTGTTTGTCACACTGCAATTAAATACTCCACTTCTGAAAGGAGCCCTGGTGGCGCAGTGGTTAAGAGCTTGGCTGCTAACCAAAAGGTTAGCAGTTCGAATTCACCAGCTGCTCCCTGGAAACGCTATGGGGCAGTTCTACCCTGTCCTGTAGGGTCACTATGAGTTGGAATTGACTTGACAGCAACAGGGTTTTTTTGTTTTGCTTTTTAAGCTTGAACAGTACATTCTAGTCACAGCCATCTCCAAAATGACAAATTCAAAATTTGTTACTTGCAAGTAAAACAAAAGTTCGATTGTTTACACATCACACACAGATCTCCGGTTAAATAAAATATGCTACCGTTTACAAGACAACAGTACGCAATACTGCTGCGCCAAAGTAACCTTATTATGAACATTTAAACAACAGTTCTCAAGGGCTCTTCATCTAAACACTAGTAACCCTGATCCTATTACTGGCACTTTGACTCATACCCATACCTTTCAAATTTGGACTCCACATCAAAGTCTTCCACATTCAACACCAGGTCAACGTTGTTCTCAGTACCAAGGTTGGACCGTGTGGTGGTATACACACTCAGCTGGAAAGGGACGGTAAAGGGAGTCAGTTCCGCAAGGCCCCTGGCAGAAGGCACATGCCAAAGAGTCATCCCAGAGGAAAGACCAGCTACTAAATGGGAAAAGGTCTCCTTTCAACTCCCAGATAGCAGATGATGGTTAGATCTGCTGAAAAGGAAGGATTTGCTGAAGTTTGTAGCTAACAGGGGCACAGGGTAAACTAATTCTAAGGAGCCCCCTAATTGGGGTGGCAAGGGGTAGTGCCTGGAGCCTCTGCAGGGTCACGATTCAAGCGGAGCCTTTAAGAAACGGGGTTTGGGGAGGAGAGCCCCCAGCCAGTCCTAGGGTCCCTGCTCTCGCCAGGGTAGCCCTAATCTAGCCAAGGGGGTCACAGCTAAGGGGAGGACGCCCCAGCCTAGCCCTGTGGTCAGGCTCAGGGAAGGAGAGTTCCCCAGCCAAGCGCATGGTCTCTGCTCCCAAGAAGGGAGCCCTAATCCAGCCCCCTGGTCATGGCTCAGGGGAGTGAAGTCTCAGTCCCAGGGTCACGGCTGAGGCAAAGAAAGCTCCAGCCCAGCCCTGGGGTCAGGGCTGAGGCGAAGGGTGCTCCAGCGCAGTTCCGGGGTCATGGCATAGGGGAGGAAGTCCGAGCCCAGCCCAAGGGTCACAGTTCAGGAAACGGAGGCGAGCGAGGAGAGCCCGAGGGGGCCAAGCTCGGGTGTCAGGCGACAAAGGGTGCCGAGAGTCCCCGCGAACCGCGGGCGGCTCGGAGGCCCCGCCCGGCGCTCACCTGCAGCTTGGGCCTCCGCGCCAGGTAGGGCTGGATGCAGTTGCCGTCGCCGGCGCACGGGCGGGTATACACGATGCCGTACATGACCCAGCAGGTGTGCACCACATAGACCACGAACACGCCCACCACCAGGCTCGTGAAGGAGCTGCGACCGCTCCACATGGTGCCGCCGCCCCCTGCCCGGCTGAGGGAGGGGCCGACCCCGGCCCGCCTAGCTGCCGCGGGCCCCCGCCCG